CCATAGCTGGGTATCTCCAGGATATGACCACGCTGCAAAAACGGTTTGGAGCGCGGAATCAAGCATACCAGGATGAAGGATCAAATTATCATCCCACTCAGATCCGGACTGGTCAAAAAGTGTACCGATACTATAGCCAGACTTTCGCTGTATATCGGACACTCCTCTGAACGGATGAGAGTAACCATACCCAACTGTGGAGAGGTTTGAATAGAAACGATCATCCTGAACAGCAACCAGGTTGAAGGGCTCCGCCTTAACTAGAGGTAGGGTATCAGGTTTAGCAGATGATAGTTGGACAGAAACCTTGCCTTTGGCATTTAGCAGGATATTACTGCCATCAGCCACTGAGTAGCAACCCCACTCCGCTGTAATAGCAGTGGGTGAGATGTCGATTGAAGACAAGCTGAAAATGATCTCGATGTTAGAATCATCGTCGTTAAACGCAATTGCTCGAGGAATGTCGACATCAGTTAGTCTAATCATGCTGATGGAGTTCCCAGCTTCATTATCAAACACAATGCCCTTAATAGCTTCTACCGCCATGCTCACATATCCAGTGGCGGGAAAAACGGTTTGACCTTGGAGCCTATGACCCTTGAGCCAGGGCATGTCATTTGGTCGCAGGAAGTTGCGCCATTGGAATTCCCCAGGAGTGGTAGCCTCAGAGCAAGGGCTGCCCAAAACTGGGTTAGGAAGATGTATAGCTCGTCTGTTTTTAAAATGGTTGGCCAGACGACTATTCGTCCAATAGTTGCGCTGGTGCTCGAATGGATATGAAGGTAAGTCTTTCAAACTTTTCCTACTTTGGACACCAGATAGTAGTGTTTCGACGTCAGAGAATCGCACGCTTCCAGAGCCAAGTCGAGTCCAGATAAAGCCTAGGGCATCGCTGAGTTGCGTAACATCATCAAGTCCGCGGGAGAGCAACCCTGTATAGGGAATACTACCAATAGTAGATGTTGCAGGGCCTTTCAGAGCAGGGTGTGGGCCAACCTCGATAGCAAGGTCAAACTGGTCAACGTGTTTCAGAGCTTTCGAAAGTGCATCAGCAAATAGCACAGCATTACACATATTGTCAACCCAGTATTGGTTAGTAAGTCTGTCACTAGTCATCGGTTCGCCTGCGTAAACACTTGAAAACCAAGTAGTTGCTGACTCCTGTGGTGGTGCGACTGACTGGATGGCACATCCCTCTAAAGAAGAGAAATATGGCCCAGCACATGATGCCATATGGGCACTATGATATGCGGTATCAGCTTTTAGTTTCCTTGCAAAGATCCCCTGAGATTTGAAAATTTCCTCGGCTTCAGTGACAGCGTCCTCGTCTCCACTCAGAGTCACACTCGAGGCTGAATTTACCGCAGCAACCTGAAGTCTACCAGAGAACCCTGTAGTAGCGCAAAAGTCGCGAGCATCGTCAGCTGATGCACCAACAGCCATCATGGCTCCACGAGGGGCATGTCCATTTGGGCTAGTTGCTAGCCGTGCGTGAACACCGCGGAAGTAAGCAACACGTATGGCATCCTGTGCAGATATAAAGCCTGCTGCATAAGCGGCACCAATCTCACCAGACGAGTGGCCAACCACAGCACGAAAAGAGATACCTGCTTCTCGGAGAATATCGACGAGGATTATCTGCACGGCCGTGCACAGGGGCTGGGAGAGAGCGGCTTCCGCTATACGCGATGTGTCCTTTCCTGCAAGGAGTTGGTCCTTGAGTGTCCAGGCAGGCCGATCTCCAGGGGATGGCAAACTTTGAAGAGCGGAATCCAGTTCAGATATACGAGAGGCAGCAAAAAGAGAGGTTTCAAGGAGCTGGGCTCCCATTCGTGGCCATTGAGCACCTTGTCCGGTGAAAATGCCAATTATCTTTGGGTCAGAGATAGTCCCAAATCTCGTTCCAAACTCTGCATTACCTGTAGCACTTGAGGTAGAATTCACAATCTCATCTAGGGACTTGATAGCATCTTGTATTGTCATCGCCGCAATTGCTTTTCGGTACGATAGGGTGGATCTCCTATGCTGTAAGGTATAGGCGAGATCAGAAAATTCAGTTTCTGGGTTTGAGACGAGATAATCGAGGTGTTGTGACAACATCTCTCGAAGTGCGATCTCTGAGGAAGCGGAAAAGGTCAGAGGAGTAAAAATAGGAGATACAGCCTTCTTTTCCGGAATATACTGCTCCAAAATGCAGTGGGCATTGGTTCCACCAAAGCCGAAGCTGTCAAATTGTAGTATTAGCACAGTAATGGGGAGGAAAAAAAGGATCGTTTAGGGTTTATCTACCTATTCACACTCGCCCTCCTCAGCTGACCTTCCTTTGCAGGCCATGGAGTTGGGACAGTAGGAATATCCAAGTGCTTAAAGAATGGAGCCACTTTGGCACTGAGGTTTGCAAAGTGCAGGTTGGGAGGAACCACGCCGTATTTCAACGCCAAAGAGGTGCTGATGACACTAGCCAGGCCAGCGGTGCCTTCAGTATGGCCAATGACAGTTTTGATAGAGCCGACAAGCAGCTTGTCTGCCATCTTATCGGCGTAGGATCCAGCAGGGAATAGCGCATTCGAAATAGCTTCGGCTTCTTGGGGATCCCCTGCCTGAGTACCCGTGCCATGGGCGTGGAAGAATTGCGGCCTATCCTCCAGATTGTTAACTGGATCTAGCCCTGCCCGAGCATAACACTCGCGGATAAGATTTGTCTGCGCAACGTTGCTGGGCATCGTCAGACCAGTAGTTTTGCCATCCTGATTGACTGCCGTTTCACGAATTATGCATTCAATTGGGTCATTATCTGCTATAGCCTGGGAAAGTGTTTTCAGCACAACAGCCGCAACACCCTCGCCTCGCGCATACCCATCCGCGGAAGCGTCCCACATGGCACAGCGTCCGGTAGGTGAAAGCATCCCAAGGTTACTCTCGGAGATGTACATGGCTAAACAATAAAGAAGTCAGCATAGTTATCGAGAACCTGTATATTACCTAAGCCAAAGATGTCTGGACATACCTGGACTCAATATCAGATTCGTGCCAGCAGCAACTGCTACCTTTGACTTGCCGCTTCGTAGAGCTTGGACACCGAGATCAAGGGCAACCAAGCTGCTAGAGCATGCAGTATCAATAGTCATGCTTGGTCCATGCCAGTCAAAGAAATATGACACACGGTTTGCTACAATGCCTCTTTCGAGCCCTGTAGCAGTATATCGGGGTAATGTCTCCCAGTCTCGCGTTAACATAGTGCTCCAGTCATCGGACATTAGGCCAACATAAACGGCAGTATCAGAACCTCGCAATTTCTCCATAGGCTGCCCAGCAGCACAGAGACCATCGTAGACAACTTCCATTAGTACACGTTGCTGGGGGTCCATGGCATCCACCTCACTAGGCTGAATATTGAAAAACCCAGCATCAAATTTGGTAACATTGCTCTTATCTGTGTCCTCCAGCCAGTAAGATTTGGTAGCGTTGGTGGTACCATGATGTGTGCCAACAGGATGGTAGAATGAGTCTATATCAAAGCGAGAAGTCGGCGGTTTGCTACTCAGGTCACGAGGGTTGTGGATAACAGACCAGAGTTTCGAGGGTGTGTCGGCTCCTCCAGGAAAACGAAATCCGGATCCGATGATAGCAATGGGTTCAATCATTGTTTTATTCGTCCACAAACTTGAGACAGCCGAATCTGATAAAACCTGGATCACCTGAATGCCGGTTGGTTGGTATGGGTCTGGTTTCTAGATAGGTACACTTTAATGAACGGCTCCTCGATGCCAGAACAAGCCAAAATAGTTGAATGATGAATTCAGATCTAGGTAGATAAAATGCAAGCCAGAACAGTGCAAGGAGATGAATCCTGCAAAATCAATTTGATAAGGCACGGAAAGATGAAATGATTGCCTTGGACGATTTTGGGCCAGAGAATGATATTCTACTACCATTCAAGCGGTCTTGTGGATATTTTCATGGTATATAAATAATTCATTGCAGAATGTCGTTTGCCTCTGAGGACACCCGGAAGTTGGAATCTTGTTGCCATGCTTCGGAAATGGCATATCGGGCCTAGGAGAGGCGAAGAAGCGTGTGGTACCGAATAGACACAACCTGAGGGTAGATTGACCGGAGTGATTACACAGTTGACATTCGGAGAAGAGAGAGATGTGGAATAACTGGGCATAAAGCAAGTCGAGGGATACCGGAAACTGCATGACCGAAACGGAAGTCGGAGAAGGAACCATGCCTCATTCGGTGATCAAGATAGTAACTTGTAGGCTCGGTATATCAGCCTTGAGGTCAGCCACGCAAGTCTTGGTCGGCTACGCAGGGGGTAATGCGATCAAAACGGTTAGCCAGATACTCTCTAGGAACTCGGAATAACTCACTGCCTAGACATGGACATCTTGCCAAGGGGCCAGACTTGTGGGAGTTGGCACGGACAATCTTGTGAACATGTGCAGCTCGGAATTGTGCCATAACTAGGAGCTCCACGTTTCTAGTGGAGAATAGCTAAGAATGCTGCAGCACCGTTGCAGGAGTTCGGGCAGCAATAACCAACCAGTAAACGAGATACCAAAAGTGCTCCATTCTGAGGACTTCGATCCCTTACGGGTCTGCCGAATAAAAACTGGTTACTTGCGGAGAAGGATCTAGGAGATTTCCCACTTCCTAGGTAGCGGCTGAGGCATGAACCATCATTTACTAACCGAACACCCCCTCGTTTGATGCATGCATGCATGGCTTTTAATTAATGCAGCGATGCGCAGTACTATAGCAGGCACCTGTGCAAAGAAATGCTAAGGGAGTGTTCCGATTACGAAAGATCGAGATGGGCGATAATGATTGCGATGCAGTTGGGTTTGTCCTACATGCCCAGCAGTTATCTTTATCTCTTGGCTCACCTTGCTGTCTGGTCCGATTCCATACTGACCCTCCTCCGTTCTAGGCTAATCTAGACAAGACGTCGACCCATAGAAATCAGGTAGATCATCGAACCCTGAGGGCTACTACTAGCTTGTCATTCCAGGCCAGTTCATTAACATCCAATCGTCCAGAGTCGCACCCCTCTCTAATGAATTTACATCAAAGGAAAAGATTTGCTGGTCAGGAGGTGTGAAACTTCCGAGAAGGCCTGGCATCACGAATTTTTCCGCTAGTCAGATGTTTTGTTAGCTAGCCACAGGGAAAAACTACATAAACTTAAACTTCCACAACTTACGTTCATAAAAGCCCATACCCATACTATCTGCTAACACCTCTCCTTCGTCAAGGTTCATGCCCGCTTCGCTACTATTTATAGTAGAAGCGGCTGGGTCGGTTGAAGGCCCCATACCCTGAGACAATCCGCTATTTTCCTCGCCTTGGACTCGTCCTTCCCCAACTCTTGCCAAAACAATGCTCACAGTCTCAGCGGCCTTTTTGGCCTCCTGGGAATGAGAACTGCGTCTCATCCAAATAGCACGGGTCGTACGGAGTGCAGCAGTGATTTCCTGCTTTCTCTCCAGATGTTTTCCACGATGTAGTAATGAGCATAGTATCATAGTCCCTATTAAAAACTGATGATTCATCATGGAGGACACACGCCATCGCATAGAATATAGCTGACCCCCCTGGCAAGTTTCTTCGTCGAGGACATGCTGTATATTTAATGTTCCAAGTGAAGCATCGATACAGGCATTTCGTGAATAAGCATACTTATCCTCCTCTCCTGCTGGTGACTCCATGTATAGAAATCTGCGGTGAAGCATTATTTGTCCTTTATAGAACATATGGCCAATGAACAGACGAGCCATAATCACCTGTGGAGAGTCAGTCACGCTTGATGCCATAGGCTTCATTTTCAGCGGCGGAGGGATACTGGCAGCAGCATCATGTAAAATTCCATCAACTCGCATGACCTCTGCATAGCTAGAGGGTTTCACTGCGTCGGTAACATCCGAGATTGCGCCTAACGCCATTAACATCCTTCGCCGGGCAATGATACCTAAAGCTGTTGTATGTTCGGTTTCTGGTCGAGGCGGGGGTAGTTCGGTGGTATTTTCATCCATGTCATTATCATTCAAATTTCGCGGCTCAGCAGTATCGCACTTCCAATCTGCAATCATTCGCGCCATGCCCATTTGGCTGGAAACAAGAATATCACTCATGAGGACCGTTGCCCACACCCTGCGTCGCATTTCACCCTGTAGCGGAGAGATGCCAGGAAAATGACTGGGATCACGATGGTAGCCCATACGCATTGCCAGATTCACTTGGATGGCAAGTAAGAACCAGTTATCCTTGCCAGCGTCCGCTCGAACGATATACTCCACATACACATACTGGATCATTGCCTCCAGAACATACGGTCCGGAGTTTGTATATTCCCCCATTATGAGACATTGGACTATTTTTTCACGGTATAGGTCAGCCTGAAGAGTTTGCTGCTCTATTTCATTGTTACTGTATGCCGCGTATGGCAGGTCTGAGGCAAGCAACGCAAGGCAAATCATGCCAAATAATAGTCCAACCCAGACAATCGGAGCATCAGATGGGTTATTCCAAAAAGATTCGTACTATAACCGCGGGTTAGCTTATAGGGATAAATACACATGTAATAAAACAGAACCTACTTGATTTAGAAAGCTGGGACCATGTACCACTGCTATATTGTCGGTTTAGTTAGTACTTTCATCAGAATGCTCGTTATTTCGTTGCGCTTACAAGAGGCCACAAGGTCCAGGCAGTTAAAATAGCGAGAAATATAGCGATCCACGGCACTCTTTGGGGGTAGAGCGGCAAGTATTTCAGACCGTGAAGTTGGGCGACGGCATCCATATAAAAGTAGTGCATGAGGTGACCTAGGTTTACTTGCTGGATCACCACTGTTACCATCCAGGTCCTCGGGGCTATTTGCAAGTCTCAGCTGTTCTTCCCTGTCGAAATGGTCTTTTAAATCAGCAATGTTTTCCAGTATGGCCGCCCAGTGGTCCCCGCCGACATAGCGAAGTTCCGACGCAGTAACTCGCATACTTCCACACTCAGAATGCCCATCAATTGGAGCATCTACTTGGGTATTAGCACTATTGCCAGCCCCAGATAAAGGAACTGGCGCTTGCCCATAATCTGACCCTGTGCGTGGGCCTACTTCAGCAGCTGGAGTATTAGTAGAACCATAGTTTGCTTTTTGGGTAGAATCAGACATCAAAGTCATAACAAGACGTTCTAACTGGACCAGGCGATCGTGGACTGCAGGAGGGGCTGAAGGTGTCGTTGTGCTTAGTTGCATTGACGGCTTCGTTAGCGAGGGATGGTTTTCTACGTAGACACAGGTTTGTCCTCGTGCCAAACACGTTGAACATGGCTGTTGGCGATCACATCGCGATCTACATATTGTTTGCCAGCGTTAGTACTTAACTCTGTATACAAAAGAAACCAGATCAGGTATAAATCATACTCACTTACGGCGACGACAGAGGTTACAGGAAAGCTGAGGTTTGTCCCTGCGCCGACTGGGCTTTGGGCGGGGCCTCGAGACATTATCGGCATCAATTTCCTGAAATTCAGCATGCGGTGATGTGGTCATGACAGACCCGGGGTTGACTGGTGATTCCGGCATGATGGGGCCAGGTGTGAAGGGGGTGCTAGCCTCAGTAACGGGCGTCATCGTAAGCTCACAGGTTAGTCAACATGGAACGAAACAAGTATCTCAGCTGAATAAATGGCGCTGCCCTAGAGAAAATAGTGGCGCTCTAGGTGATATATCACCCTTAGTGTTAAGGTGGTCTCAGAACGCAGATAAAAGTGCAAGGCTGCTCACCTATTTATCATTTGCGCGGCTGAGAAGATGTTACATCAGTGCTGTTCTCGAAAAGCTAATGTCCTGCAGGCTGATACTAGGATATAAGCCCAGTCAAACACCCAAACGCGCCGATCATGATTATTCTTCATTGTTATATGGTTTCTGTATAGCTAAAATGCTGCTGATGCTGTTGGTCTCGACATTTGTCGTCGGAGCCTTGACGTCGACGATCCACGTGACCTTAACCAGGCGCCCTGACCTAAAGGAGTCATGTGACTATAATTACATAAATACAATAACGATGATCCAATAATGAATGACTTAATTGATTAACAAAGATTGGCATAGCAGCCATTTTGGAAGCTGGTTGGATATTACAGCTAACTCTCCCGGTACAGTTGAAGTCAGTTTTTTAGTTAAAAAGGCGCAGCGCTCAACTCCGCGGATTTGTCGGTTGGTTGTCTTTCCGAATTCTCTCGAGCTTATTTTAGGACAGTTCGTACGGAACACAGAATACAGATACAGATATAATTTATCCCAGCTCCTTGTCTATCCGGTTGTTCGCTGCAGAGACCCATTTTGTCTGAGACTCTAAACATGCCACGCGGTCAGCGAAAGCCTATAGCAAAAGTTGGCGAACACGAGCGAGCTGAACCTTCTCGAGCAAAGGAATAAAGTTTGCCCTGCCGAGCCTTGGCATGCGTTAAAAAAGCTTAATCCTAAATAATAAGCGGATCATCCGACCATCCGACCCTCCGATGCTCCTGTCCTGACCCTCCGACGATCCGCGGCCCCACTTTTTGGCGCGGCTTTCACCATGTGCCATGCGGCTCAACATGGCCACGTTGGGAAAGAAGCACGGATTTAGGCGCGATGAAATCATATCTCCGTCGTGCTTGCTCGCTTTTCACAGTTGGAGAGTGCTCATAAACGCCTACTTAAACTCCGTCGCTCTTTATTGCTTACAATATTCTCTCTCTCTCATCACAACGACTCGCCTATCTACTTCCAAGCGTCTTCTTCTCTAGATACTGCGGTCATTCCAATCTCGAAAATCAAAATACCACATTCTCAGCCGCACCTGACGCCATGTCAACGGCCGATGCTAGCACGGACACCGTTCCGATTGAGGCGGGCCCAATTGAAGAGACCAAGGTCGCTGACCCTGAAGTCGTTGATTGGGATGGGCCAGAGGACCCCGAGAATCCTCATAACTGGCCAAGCCGTAAGCGGTGGGCGCACGTTGTCGTTATTGCAATTATCTGCCTAGTTATGTATGTACTATACCCCGTCATCCATGACGGTGCAAGGTGTTCTCGTATATTGTTTGACCAATGCTAACACGATATGCGTCTACCCGAACAGGAACATTGCACCTACCATGTGCGCTCCGAGCATCAATCTACTTGTTGCCGAGTTCAATATCCGTTCATTCGTGGTCAGCACCTTTGCGGTGACACTCTACCTTCTTGGCCTCTCAGTAGGCCCCATGTTCATCTCCCCGTTGAGTGAAGTGTACGGCCGCTTGCCCGTCTACCATATCTCCAACGTAGTTTTTGTCGCATTTGTCATTGGCAATGCGTTGAGCAAGAATATTGGCCAGTTTCTCGCTTTTCGTTTCCTCTCCGGATGTGCGGGAGGTACCCCCATGGCTCTTGGTGGGGGAAGCATCGCGGATGTAACTCCTATCCAACGCAGAGCAATTGCCATGGCCTTGTTCAGTCTTGGGCCGCTGACTGGACCAGTAAGCCGCCCTTCCGTCCATCCCTCGGTCACCACCCGTTTAGCAAAAAGCAAATACTAACTACTGGCCCCGTGTGACTAAAGGTTCTGGGGCCTGTTATCGGTGGCTTTATCGCTGCTGGCAAGGGCTGGCGCTGGATCTTTTGGATCCTGGCGATCATAGGGGCTGCCGCCACGATTACTGGATTCGTCATTCTTCGTGAGACACACCCCGGAATTATTCTCGAACGCAAAGCCACTCGTCTTCGCGAGTCTACAGGCAACCCACATCTTCGATCAAAGCTTGCTCGTTCCCAGTCACCACGCCAGCTCCTTGCTGCCGCTCTTATTCGGCCCACCAGGCTTCTCATTCGTTCGCCAATTTTACTGATTATCTCTCTCTATGTGGCCCTTGTTTTTGGCCTCATGTACCTGCTCTTCACCACCTTCACCGACGTTTTTGAAGGCGAGTATGGCTTCACAACATCCACCTCTGGCCTAGTCTATCTTGGACTCGGAGTCGCCCTGGTTATCTGTATGCTCCTCTTTGGCGCTCTCAACGAGCGAGTGCAAGCTGCGTGCCTAAAAGCAGATGGTGCTACGCAACCCCGGCCTGAGTATCGTCTCGTTCTCATGATCTTCTTCAGTCCCTTGGTTGGTGTAGGCCTGTTCATCTACGGCTGGACAGTACAGTATAGAGTTCATTGGATTGTTCCCATCATCGGCACTATGGTGATGGGGTTTGGAGCCTTCTTCGTTCTCGTGAGTTTCACTTCTGCCATCAATCCCTCCAGGTCGTTATCAACACTAACTAAATCCCACCAGATGCCTGCCCAACTATACCTAGTCGACTTGTTTGGCTCTGAGGCTGCCGCTTCAGCTCTGGGAGCCAATAATCTTATGCGTTATCTGTCAAGTACGTTTTTGCCACTAGCCGGACCTAAGATGTATAAGACTTTGCACTACGGCTGGGGTAACACACTACTTGGCTTCCTTGCCCTTGCTTTTGTCCCGGCTCCGATCCTTTTCTACAAATACGGCGAATGGCTCCGTGCTAAAAACGTCGTCAAATTGTAATTATCGCTTAAACTTTGCCGGAGACTTGAAACTCGTGGGAGTGGGCATCTAGAATGGCGTTATTATAGGTTAAATTAGTTAGGTAGCTCTTACGACTTAGTTGCATCTTTGCTCCTCTTTTTTTGCGCCCTCTCTTGTTACCAGAATGCGCAAGATAGTCAAATAGGAGTATCCATTTTTAGACTGGGGAGGTACGGCATTAGCTTGTGTTATGGCTATCACTCGGTCCCTAACTACCACGCTGTGACACTCGAATAGCCATGTGCCTGGAGTACGCGCACATTCGAGGAACCCATAGATGGAATCTTCCAATGATTTTGATCACATAAATTATGTAACTAGTCGGCCATCATTTCTCGTCATTTCCCTGCATAAGTTCACGAGGCGGATATACGAGTGCATTATGGAATCCATCGTCCGGAGGTAGGCAGGTGTCAGCATCATAGCTCCGCCAGCTAACTCCTGAATACCACGCAGCACCATGTGCATATCTGCATGGAAGTGGAGGAGTGGAGAAGGGATATCACCCTTGAGCCGCTCTGGTCCGGCCAGGGATGGCCTCAAGAGAGAGTGTTGTGCCGGATTTCCATAGGCTAGTAGATCCTTCAGGAGCGACACCATTTCCGTAAGAAGAGATCTCTACGCAGAACCATGACATGTGTGAGTTCAGACACGAGGAAGCCATGCAATGTAACAACCACCGAGATCCCAAGCCTTGTCCATCGCAGCCTGGTAAAACATCTGTCTCGCTTCGTATGCATCTAGCTGAAGGCTAAGTCATGAGGATTGTGAGTGCCTGTGTGCATGGAATCTTAGTCGATTGGCCGTGTTGCCGTCTTTACTGGCCCTATTAATAGGCTGGCAAGTTATTGTTCACCGTAAGCTTTCTTTTGTCCAGTCCAGGAGAAGAGCTCCAGCTTGAGTTAGGCTGCAAGTTGTGATGCCGCTTCCGCTATATCAGTCGGACTACTCCCACTGTTCAGGAGATTGGAATTGTGCACAGCATCCCCAAAAACGAGGTCATATCTTCACGAGACATAACTACGCCTCTCCACAACCATAACTACATATCAACGATCAGTCGTGGAATAGCGGAGCTCGAGCCGTAGCATCGCGAGGGAGGAAAAAAGAAAGAAAGATTCTCCGTATTCAACGAACTAGTCAGCCATCTCCTTGCCCTCCAGCCTGTTAAGCGTTTTCATACCAAGCCGCACGTTGATCGTCCCGACCTCTGGGAAGCCCCTGTTCCGCCATGAGTACCACTAACATCACGCCGCCACTGCGAGCATCATGCGATCGATGCCGAGCCCAGAAGCTGCGATGTGTGCCGTCATCGACTTCGGACGCCACAGCGCCATGTCAAAGATGTTTGAGAGCAAAGTCGCCGAAATCATGCATATTTAGCCAGCGTCTGCGGACGGGACGGTCCGTGAAAACTGGGACCGTAGAATCCCGCCAAGCTGCCACCCGCAGAGAGAAGGAAAAGTCGCCTGGACTTCCCGGGATGAGTGCCTTTGCGTTGTCCACCCCACCACCGTCAGAATGCGCAGCCGTCGGGAAGCAGAAAAAGAGGAATGAGACCCATCGTGTGCCAGCAAAACCATCTCGCAGTAAGAGGCAGTTGGAAGGAATGGACCTTGGATGTGAAGACATTATATTGCCACCAACAAGCGCAGCAAAGGAACCCCTAGGCACATGCACACCTGTAGAGTTCTGGGATGTCAACAGCAACAACACCCCCATACTGCAGCCTGCTGATTTCATCTTTGATGCAGATGAGTTCACCGGCTCTCCAGAAATGATATCCGACTATAGCTTTGACGCCAACGCGCATCTAGATGTTCAGGATTTTTTGCCCCCTTTACCGTATCCCACGCCCGTCGGCCTGGAAATGGAGATGGATATGTTGATGGCCGAAAAGCCAGGCCCTCTGGTTGACCTGACAGCGCTTCTTGCGAAGATGTCGCATTATGAAAGCCAGCTACCAAAGTTACCGGGAGGCGATTTGGATAACTATCCTATTGGCGACGCCCTCTTCCTTTCCCAGCGGTTCTTCACAGTGCTATCGGAACATAACCCTGTTAATTCGATAGGAGAAACCTCGCACCTTGATATGCCTACAAAATTACTCACCTTATCCTGTTATATGACCCTAACTCGCATCCTTATATCGGTATTCGGATATCTCCATGGGCGACTCTCTCAGCTTCAAGAGGCGAACTTCCAGAATGACGGCATGGGGCACTCGGTCTCTTTCTTGACGGATATGCATGCTTACCGCGGCCTTCGCCTAGGTCAGATTCAACCAATCTGCGCGTGTGCGGGAAAGGAATCGGCCACTCGGGTGAAGAAAGCAGTATCAATGTTGTTGGCTTCCCTTGGGGGTGCCGAAGGGAGGTTAGGTTTACCGCCAGACGTGAGAGTGACACCCGATGTTCAAGTAGATACCAATATTGGCCGAGGAATATCCACATTGCCCGATCAAGGGGACGAGATGATGGTACTCGAGGATGGCTTGCTGGTCGGGCTGACGAATAGCCGCCTGCACAAGGTGGTAAGAGAACAGGCGAGAGAGCTGCGAGAGAAGGTAGATGAGGTTTACGACGTTTTGAAGGGGTTATTGGAGATATAGGCAACTCCAGGTTGGTTAACGAACCACTTACCAGGAGATATTAGTTATGTCATTCCAATAGACTCACCTCAGATTAGCTATAGCTTTTCCATGATTGTATATGACCATATTTTCTGAACATAAATGTGAATATTTATTTATACAGAACCCACCATTTGATCAACAGCAGAATAACCTAAAGAAATGGAGGCTAGACATGCAAATGAGTAGTTAGTATATTGAAGAAGACCGAGTAATAGTGCATAAACCAGAAATCAATCTATGGCGTCACTCCATACATTCGCCATCAATTGGTACACAGGCGGGTTCACCAGACCAACACGGTGAGGGCCCGGTATCAATCCTGATGATACATGCTGATGCTATGCTGCGGCATGTCGTACGATTCGGAAGAAATACCGGCAATTCGGAGCTTCTATTGGGTATATCAATCGATTTGGTTGTTCTCCGACTTCGGGTTCGGATTCATGACCGCTCAAATGGGAAGTCTCCGATGCTCTATATGTAAATACTCGACCCAGCGCCAGCATGAAGAATCAAGGTGAAGAGCAGTTAGAAAACAAGTGCAAGTTCTATATGAAATTGTTAGTTTTCTTTGGCCACCTCACCCCTGGGTTTGTTTAACGAGGTAGCCATAACAATGCCGCCCCAATCCGTGGTAATTGTATGTAAAAGCCCTTTAATCGCTACTTATTCCGATGCGCTAATGAGCAATAACTGGCACAGGTTGGAGGTTCAGTTGCAGGATTGCTACAGGGACTACAGCTCAAACGCAGCGGTAGTAATGTCATCGTGCTCGAGCAAGACCCTTCAAAAGACCGCCACAGTCACGAATCCGGGGTATCGATCGGACGAACTGTGGTACACTTGTTGGATAAATACGATGCAACAGGACGACCTGCTGCAATTCCGGCAAAGTACTTGAGTGCTGCATGGCACAAATGGCTTAGGGTAGTAAACACTCACTGGGCACACAGTACGAGCAACTGGGGATGTCTATACCTGATTCTAAGAGCGAACTTCGACGGCTTGAAATCCGAGACGGTTCCAAACCCACCACAGCCACGCAAGGGAGATGGGAAAGTGGAGTATTGGCCTGGAAAGCGCGCGACGGGGCTGAAGTATGATCGCGACGCGGGTAAGGTGCACCTCCAGTATGTGGATGTGACAACCGGTGAGGAGGGAACTGTGAGCGCAGACACCATTATTGCAGCAGATGGGGTGCACTCCACAATTAGGAAGATATTGCAGGTACCGACACGCAAGGAGTATGCAGGGTATATTGGCTGGCGTGGTACTGTGCCAGAAAGTTTGCTGTCTGAGCAGACAATTGAATATTTCTCCAATCGACTAAATTTCACTGTTATGAATGGCACTTATTTCATAAGGCGAGTCATATCGCCCAATCATTTGTGGATGCCCGCTGACACGGTTTAGTTACTTTATTCCAACGGAGACTGGACATGTTGAACCCGGCCAACGTCTGATCAACTGGGTGTGGTATTATGTTCTTCCCGACGGATCCCCCGAGATGGATACCATCTTTACCGACATACATGGCAAGGTACACCCCAACACGGTCCCTCAGGGGCTTGTCAACCCTGGCGTCTGGGCTTCTCAGGTGGCGCGATACCTCCCACAAATGACGGCTCCACTAGCTGAGGTGGTTAGCAAAACACCAAGGCCGTTCGTAACGAAAGTGGGAGAAGCGCAATGCTTTACGCCCAGCTTCTACGATGGGCGTGTTGTCCTTGTAGGCGATGCTTTCACAGGCTTCAGGTCACATTTGGGGATGGCATCGGAACAGGCTGCTCGCCATGCTGTGCAAATGGACAAGGTCTGGAGGGGAGAGATGACCATGGAACAACGCGACCGGGAGGCAATTTTATACGCGAAACGCTTCATTTTATTGAATAGGATGGTTGGATGGACGGGCCTAGGATGGGTATTTTCCCTTTTCACCGCAATGGCGAGTTATGCGTGGCTGGCTATTCAGCAGGGGCTGGGCATTGCGTAAGTAGTTGACAGACCTCCATGTCTCCGAATAAGCGTCTACCAGCCATAGCATCCATAAAGCCCAGCTCGGGTACTGTGAACAACTTTCCACTCTGTAGCAGCCAGATTTTTACCTGAAAAATGGCAGATATATCCGTACGAGTCTGGGATGGGACGATTGTCTAGGTTACCATGTCCCTTGTCAATGTACGCTGAGTGTTTAGCTGACTCCTTCAGATGTACTCCATAGTTAGAGATGCAAGCCAAAATATCGGGGTATAGATCGTGTCAATAACCCCGTGATACGGAATACGGCCTCTGCATGAATAATATCTCAAAAACACGACTGTTTCGTGCTAAATAGCATCAAATATCGCCGTGTTTACTCCGTACTTTGCGGCTTTAAAGTGGGAAAAACGTCTAAGCGCGAGGTTGAAAGTTTAAATTTAAGCTTCAACGAAATAAGAATGGCTGGGACACGCTAAGCCTAAAGGGGAGAAACTTTAAGTCACATGTGGATTACTCAGCAGAACCCGTTCCCAGCCACCAAGAAAAACGACATCGAAAGATCTCGCGATGGCGGGAGAAAAAGCGTTTTGTTTCGTCTGAATGGTTGCTTAAACAGGGGGGCTGGGGAGGTGGCAGGGGAGACAGCCTCAGGGCTTCGCTCATATATTGCCGTTGCGGTCGTACATTTGTTCTACTCTTTTTTCCCTCTTTCTTCTCCCTCCATGTCGGCCTCCAACTTTCCCTTCTATATATACCCATTGTTTATCCGAAGTACGCTGCCATAGTATACCTGGTGAGTTCCCCACACTGTTCGCTAACCGTACGACCTGGGTAATTCTAACTGTTGGATAGATATATACTACTCTCTATCTACTTCTTTATATATCATTCTACACTTTCGAGCACCACCTATACCGCATCCTGCCTTCATATTTACCAAGCCGAGGATACAAAGGCATCTCGCTATTCCTACCTCGAACCCACGTCCGTCGAACGGCTGGTCACTGGCTTTATTGAGCCTAGCCCCCCGGCAAACGCAAAAATGGTTCAACGAAATGTCACAATCGCCATTATTCTCATTATACTATTCGTCCTCCTTGCCGCGGTCGGAATTGTAATCTTCTACATCAATAGCCGCCTGGGTTGGTTCGCACGAGCAAGAGAAGTAGATGAAGAGCAATAACACCGACTACTTCCCATGAATCAAACGGATGGAAAAATCACTTGATAAATCTACGAAATCGAATGAGGAGGGAAATACGATATATCATGTTGATTCATTGATGGGATCACGACTCTCTTATGCATGAGTGCAAATTCCAGGCGTTAAAGAGAGGTTAAAGGGATGTTTTTTTCATTTTGAGAAATTATAGGTCTAGAATGGGTGTTTTGCTACATGGGAAGAAATTCAAGGCATTTTTCACCTTGTTTGTGTTTTTCGTTGATCTAATGGAATTAAAGCCTGTGAGGATTTTATTAAATGCCCACGCTGTGGGTATTTTTGTTTTACTTCTTCTCACATTAACTATATACATCAACGGGGGCTTAAAAAAAAAGATAACGAAAAGGAAAAAGGGAATTTCACAAGTCGGCCGTCTCTAATACATGTTTCTTTAATCCATAACTTCTACCGTTTACAATAATTAAGCAGGCTCCGTATAAAAAATGGCAGGAAATAAGTATTAACGTGTCTCTCGCGAGTCTTGTTCTTTGGGGGTATACTGTATCTGTGTTTTAGGGGATGCTTCGACCCTATCGGAGCCGCTCCCATCCGTGGGGCCGGAGGCGTTTGACAGTCGGTGTGGAGGGGCTACGCCTTCACTAGCTTGTCCACCGGACTGCCTGGCGGCGCTTCCTGATGCCGGGGGAGTAGCTGGGGTTCCAGAACTGACCGGGAACACGGGTCCGCGAGGAAGGGTCGGGGACAAAACTGAATTAGATCGATTCTGTGGGGTAGAGTATGATTCAAGGGCAGGTGGGTGATTCCAGGAATATCTAGGAGATGAGCTGCCTGGGCTGGAAAACCTATTAGGGGGCTGATCCTCATGCGGTCGTGGGCGTTTGGGTGGACGGAAATATTCAGCTGGTTCATTCGGCTCTCTGTCTTCGTTCCGGGGGGATTGTCTAGCAGGGGATGGTGGAGGATGGGGATGTCGTTGGAATGGCGGCTGGTGTTTTGGTGATGTTGGCACTGGAGGTGGGAGCTGATTGCTTCTCTGAAGAGGAGAAGCAACTCGTGTTGAATAGGGCTGGCGAGGTATACTAGGCAGGGTCGATACTTCGGTGTTAGTGTTATCCAGACCACCCACACCGCTTCGCCCCATGGATCTATCGTGCATTACAACCCGCTGCCATTTAGCTACAAGGTTGTCGTAGTCCCATTTCGACGACTCAGGCGAGTGTATCCGGCTATCATGCCTGTCAAGTTCCCTGGCGATATCAGGGGATATGGGCAGGAGGTTCGGCGGGAAGATAGCGAATTCCCTTGGCCATTGGCAAGATGCAAGCTTTTCGACCTGCGCACGCAACTGATTGGCTTCCTGCTGTGTGCGGTGTAGCTGAGCCTCAATCTTCTTCCGTTTCTCAGCTTCTCGTGCAAAGGCACGTACTATCTCAAGATGCCACAACTCCCGTTGGGCCGCGGGTGAAAGCTCCATCCAATTCTGCAAGGACAGCTCAAGATGCCGTGGGATCATCTCCTCATGGTGATAGGCTACCTTTTCGATCATACTTGCATCATGGCTTGATGACTGGCTTTGGTGTGACGAGGACGAGGACGACGCAGAGTTAGCTGCTGTGAGCTGGTCGTATTTCCATTGGTGGACCTGGGCGCGCAATGCTTGCTGTACTATTTCCCGCTGGTTCACGCTCGGAGGGTCAATAGGGAAAGAGTTGGGCGACGGGAATGGGTGGGTGGAAAAGAGGCTCGGCGGGTGCGGTAATGCTTGGAGGCACAGGGCAGGAAACGTTTGCGATTGGAGATCAAAGGCGAAAGGAGAGATCGACTGGGTATGGTTGCTGCTGTGAAACCGGCTCAGAAACAATTTCAAGCTAGATGTACGAACGATAGGATCGATTGGTGTGGTAAACTTACGCTGCTGCTTTCACACTATCTAAAACCTCCCTCAATGCAAGCTCCAGAGCTCTTGTAGTCTCGGTTGAGTTCGAGCTAGTAAGCCGATTCGATCTCTCTAATGAAGTAGAAGGAATCCTCAATTGTGAAACCGGGGAGGAATTGGGAATGTCGTTTATGACGCCGGTAGCATGCCATGTTGGCTGGTTGATTAAAAGTCGATATGGCTTGCCTGCACCACTTGAGTTGAGCTGCAACGGAGCGACAGAGTGCGGATCTGGACCCGTAGCAGCAGAGGCCGCACCTATTGCGGCCGCGGACCCAGAGGCAGGCCCTGATGCAGACGAGACTTCCGGACTGTTCTGCTTTGTCCCACCGCGCGCTGTTCGCCGAGTGATACTGCTGCGAAGCTGTCTGATTTCTTCCACATTGTGCACCCCATCCGGCTTCTTCTTGTAGAGGTACTGGTCCAGATGGCGGCCGAGGGAGGACGAAGTAAAGGTCTGGTTGCAGTACGGACACTGCTTGTTCTTGACGGCCAGGGCCTTGGGTGCTGCAGAGGTTTCTCGCTCGTCCTTGGAGGCATTGGGGTCCCTCACCTCTTCCGCCCGCGCGGGAGACGTCTCTTCCATAGCTCTAAATCGTCTGGCTCATCGAGGTAAGGCGAACAGATAGCTAACTAAGATAAGGGGGAAGGGTAAAAAAACATATGGCGGACGGGAAGCGACAGTCGATGGTGGAAGAAGATGAAAAAAAAAGCGAGAGCTGGCGCAACTTTCTCGGCAATTCGGGTGAATAAGAGAGCTCTCACCTAACGTACAGCTGTTAGCTACATATCCTCCAGACTCCCCAGGGCTTGCTCGATGCCTCCTCTGCCCATGGAGGCGATGTGAGATTGCTTACCTGCCAGTAACAAAGCCGCGCGACAGGTTTTGCCGTGGGCGCATGCAAGGCTATCGCATGCGTATATAACAACCCGATTTATCACCACCTGGAAAAAGCAAGCAATGAAGCTAGCAGACAGGAATAAAAAGGCTGAAAAAGCATAAAAAAAACATAAACCCGCCTGGGATAATTCAGAGAAAGGAAAGGCATCCGTCCCTGATGTCGCGGTCAAGGAGTGTTTGCTGCTGCCAAATATAATAATAACGGGCAGCGAGGATGCGAAGCGCCGGCGGTCAAAGCCGAAGAATCTGGGCCAAAAAGGCAAGCCAACAGCAAGCCAACAGCGGAGGAAGAGCAGAATATCTTACTATCAGGCCCCAGAAATTATGAAGAGGACCAAAAATACAGAGCCAAAAGAATTATATGGATTAGCAATAGTGACAAAAGTAGAAAAATAAATATACAGGCGAGGGAAAGGTGATGGATGCTTGCTTCTGCGGTCGTTGGGAAGAAGCAAATAAGCGTATATATGCAAGCACTCAAGTACTCCAGGCCGATATGAAATAAAAGAACCTGTTGCTCTGCTCTCTTTGCTTCTTCTTCTTCGTTCACCGAGCAGGTCAACAAATCGGAATCGCATGGAAGGAGTCCCGCGGGTGAGACGGTAGCTAAGGAGGGCCTGCCAGACACGATGCAGGGAAGAAGCAATGAGCAGCGGCCAGTAGAGCGTAGAGAGTATTTGAAAAGGCGGCGGGTTCTGATGGATGGGAGAAGCGCCTGAAAGAAGTGCTGTCGTGGTCGACCGTTTGGCCTCGATGGAGTCCGTAGCTGGATGTGATAGAGCAAGTCCATAGTGCGTTCCATGCAGAACTGACGGGTCCGGGAGTGTGAAGCCGGGGGGACCCTGGTCAAGGAACGGCGATGCGATGCGATGCGCTGCTGCGATGGGTGCCGTGAGCGAGAGTGCATGCAGACGGACATATCTTTTCCCTTCCCTTCCCGCGAGGTACATACATATGTCCATCCGCACTCCGTACATGCATCCGGACAGGCAGGCCTCCCGTTCGATGTATGTACGTCGATGCATCTCCACCAGTGGAAAGACTCTTTCCCGCACCGCTCAAACACCGCCATACGCTGTGCTTGCGGGTAGGCTTTTTTAGGGGCTGGGCATGCATGGGAAACAATGCATATCAACCGAGTTCGTGCCTGAGCGCGTCGCGATCTTCTCAATTTCGAACTCACATCATCGCAGTGGACTCTCTGGCGCTGCTAGCTGACGAGACTTGGTGGCGGCACTCTGCTCGGGATTTCCCGTCAACTCCCTGCGTCTCTCAGTCTCCTTCCGTCTCCCCCATGCGTCGACAGCCCGTTGTCGAAAAGAAAGGAAAGAAGATATGAACCATCACAATCATGAGATGTGTTGAGCAATTAAAGCGCCATTCGCCTGGGAATACTATGTTAATAGCGTGGTGGAAAGGGGCGCCTTGACTTTGCGACTAAAGAGCGAGGACAGGGGGGAAACCAGACAAGAACCTGGCCTATCTTCATCGATATCGTCGGCGTCCCCGTTCGGTTCGATCGTGGGGTTTTTTTTATCTCCCTTGCTTTCTTTCTTCATATTTCTTTGCTGCTTTGTTGCTTTGTTGTTTCTTTTCTTTTTCACCCTTCCGTGGGTCTAATTTCAGCCATTGAGGACTATGGGAGGTCCGATCCCAAGGGGGCAGATATGCACATATGCCCGAGTTTCGATGCGCCGGATGCCCTGACCAGGTACTTGTGACGGGTTACACGAGGAGCACATAGTGCTGTACGAGGAACGGACTGGATCTCTTGTGTATGTGAAATACAGCCTCGATTGTGGCTATCATTGGCACAGAATCCTGGATTCGCGCTGTGCGTCTTGACTTGTTGCACCGCCTAGGGCTGGAGATTAAAACGGTTGCTTGGTTGGGACTTGTTGACCAGATTCGGATGCTAGATGTATACGAACGGTACAGAGTGTCTTTGATACCCCACGGAAACCCCCACTGCCTTGCTCTCCTATTGAGCGCAGCTGAACAGATACCCTTTAAGGTACGTGCAGTTTACGGCGGGCGTGGAGGCCGGCCGGCGTCGTATTATTCCCAGAAAAGGTACCAGATTATGGGGAGAAGAGGTCTGATACCTTATACACGGCGACTCGTAACGCCGATTCACCAAGGATCTCGGGCTTCACGCTTGTCCCAGCCATCAGGAATCACGTCCCATGTGGGCAGCTGCCAGCCCTGTGACGTAATGATTCGAGTTCAACCGATTGGGCCCGACGGCTTCATCTGTCTCACGTTCAAGTTGACTCGTTTGGCAGCCATCCAGCCGCTCCACTGCTGGAACCGACCACCTCCCTTTTTGCTCGCATCTCCAGGCCAGTCCTGCAGCCAGCTTGGACAAGTATCTGGTAGGATTCTAGGAACACCATGCCAAGACACCCTGGATGCGCCGTCCATGTAGACTGCATCGCCTGAGCGGAGCCTGATGACGGCCAAGTCCGAATTATCTGCATGGCTGACCATGAAGAGGCCGTCGCAGCCAAAACTGATGCTTATCAAGCCAGTATCACATTCTTCACTGACATCCCTGTGGATGTGTAGCGTGTCTCCCGGCGAGTAGACGTTGACGATTGCCGCCTCGGGCTGGGTAGCTGGAAAGATACCCTGAAGTAGATGAGATATGTCCAAAGGGAATGGCGGAGGCTGACCGGCGGGATAGCACTTCTTAGTCCAGTCGTACTGGCCGCCAAGTGTCATCCACCGGAGTTTGCGGTTCAGCATCGACTGGATGGTGAGCGGGGTGTGCACGGAGCTATCTTTGGGCAAGATGGAGCGGCTCAGTGAATCTTCAAAAAAGGACGGATTGTCACCAGTCTGTCTAATCCCGGGCAAGCATGAGGCGTCTGGGTAGGTGACGTTATAGTGTAGGTGGAGGTTGGTCTGGTGCCGCTGGTCTGATAGATCACGATGTAGTAGCCTCGACAGCAACTCAACCTGGACTCCCGGAGGAAGAATTGAAGGGATAATCTCAAGGCCTGCCCCATGGACGAGTTAGTCCTTGCTCGTCCGCCTGGGATTTGCCTTGTTTCTATCTAGCTGCTGACTTACCGGGTATGTCCCGATGTGTATAGACAGGTAGCGGCTCAGCCGCTGGCTGGGGAACGCCCCGGACGTCGCATCCCCCCATGAACTGGCTAAATGCAGCTTCCAATGACCCTTGAGTAAGCCATCTGTCTAGCGATATGCCATTAGGAAGGCTGTCGCTGTCGTCATCTCGCCGCAGATCAATTATCGCGGGGTGCGAGTCGATATCAGGGACCTTCAACGCACGATAAGCCTTGTACTGCTGCCGCAGCCTGGCTGGAGGGTGTTCATGGGCATCTAAACTCCCAATGGCCCCCATCCCCGGTGCTACCACTGCATCAATACTTCTTCCTCCTCTTCTTATTCTCTGTCGTTTTCGTCTTCCTCGTTTTGTGTCTTTCTGGTCTTTGATATTTCGATATTTCGATATTTTATTTTTTTTTTCTTTTGTCGTTGAAGATATGATTATATAATATTAAAATCACGTGCTTCTATTACAAGTACATGATTAAGCAACGATGACTAAGGAAAGATGAGTAATTTTCCGATATTAAATTCACTATTGGGTGAGGTTTTGATATTTTATCATTGGACAATCAGTTCCAGCTCGCGCTTCTATTGGCAGAATCTCGCGTCGCTTTTGTTTGTTTGTTTTTTGTTCCTCGCCCGCCCGAAGATAAAAGAAAAAGAAAATCAACAAGAAAAGCAGAAGGAAAACACGCAAAGCAGGAGATCTCAACCGCCACAAAAGGACAAAAGACAGACAAGAAGATAGCAGAAAAAGACAAGCAAGAGGCAGAGACCAGACTACAGACGAGAAAATACCGGGCAGCAACGCTGAAAAATGGAATAAATAGCGTTGCGCAGCGACATCAAATTCCCCGCCGTGTCTCGAGAGAGCTTGACCCTGCAATCCCAGCTCCAGTAGTGCCCACAACCCTTTGAAATTCTTCGAGAGATACACGAAACCCGCGTCGCTGATCTACTTGCTGCCAGTTGTGAGCCAGTTGTTGGCCGTGTGCGGTCGAATAGATATTCCAGTTGTACTGATCCCCGGCCTCCGTGCTTGTGTTGATCTGTTGGAGGAAGATGGAGAACTACCAGAAGATAGAGAAGATAGGAGAGGGTATATCTGCTGCTATATCTATCCAATACTAGAGGGACATGCTCACTGACCCGTTTTATATAGGAACATACGGTGTTGTTTACAAAGCTCGAGATCTATCTAATCATGGCCGGATTGTTGCCCTAAAGAAGATTCGACTCGAGGCTGAAGATGAAGGCGTTCCGAGCACAGCAATTAGAGAAATATCCTTGCTTAAGGAGATGCACGACCCAAATATTGTCCGGCTATTTAATATTGTTCATGCAGACGGACATAAGCTCTATCTCGTCTTCGAGTTCCTCGACCTGGATCTAAAGAAATATATGGAAGCTCTGCCGGTGAGCGAGGGTGGCCGCGGAAAAGCCTTGCCAGATGGATCCCATGAGATGAGCAGGCTGGGTCTGGGCGAAGCCATGGTGAAGAAGTTCATGGCCCAGCTTGTGGAAGGGGTCCGATACTGCCACACCCATCGCGTGCTCCATCGAGATCTCAAGCCTCAGAACTTGCTTATTGACCGGGAGGGTAACCTTAAAATTGCAGACTTTGGCCTTGCTAGGGCTTTTGGTGTTCCTTTAAGAACATATACACATGAGGTGAGTCCCTAGGGGTTTACTCAAATATTTAATCGCCTATGTACTAAGAATTGACGGAACAGGTTGTCACCCTGTGGTACCGTGCCCCTGAAATTCTCCTGGGTGGCCGTCAGTATTCTACAGGTGTCGATATGTGGTCTATCGGTGCAATTTTCGCTGAGATGTGTACTCGACGACCCCTTTTTCCAGGTGATTCGGAAATTGATGAGATATTCAAGATATTTAAGTACGCTTAGATTACTTGCCTATTAAATCTATTCGTTCGACTCTTAACTAATATTCTATATAGGTTACGTGGCACACCTGACGAACGGATCTGGCCAGGCGTAACATCGTTCCCTGACTTTAAGACATCATTCCCAAAGTGGAAACGAGAAGATATTCGCAAGTTAGTGCCTGGTTTGGAAGAGAACGGCCTCGCGCTGCTAGATGCTATGCTTGAGTACGATCCCGCACGCCGCATATCAGCCAAGCAAGCATGTATCCACCCATACTTCCAGGCATGCAGCTCTGCATACTCAAGCCGCGGCCGAACTCCTGTCTACCAATGATTTACGAACTCCTATTCATTTACGTGCTCTCGCTGCTGTTCCATGTCTAATCCTCCTTTGTCCTTGCTCCTAGCGTACCTCCGTCTATATTTTTAACAAGGAGGAAACAATATGGCCCATCTGCAAGATGCTCAACCTTCTAGATCTCAGACGAAGTATTGCTGTTGTAAATAATAATAATAGTAAACAGAGTAAATCGTCTCCTGGATATTTAATGTTGTCTTGGCGGCTGAAACTTGACGCGATCATTTAGTTAGCTAACTCAACTAACAACGCCGCGATAAACGGTCGACCAACTACCTAGGCTGGTAGTTAATTGAACAATTTGCGACTCCATCACATCATGGAGCGATGCGCCTATCAATCTCCACTGCCTCTACTCATCCTCCGTTCAGCTACAAGAGGTATACCTGTTTACGCCGGAGAATAGGTCGTTGTCTATCCAGCGCGGCCGTTCCATTCCTTCGCGAAAATGCTGTACAGGTTCCTGTGGGTAGTAATGGGAACATCACCCTAACGTACGTACCGCATCCTCGTTGACTGTCAAAAGAATCATATATAGTCCAGCTAACGCATTTACACAGCGTCCTGTCTCCTAAGGAGGAATCCAAATCCAATAGCTCCAATCTCATACTCTACCTCCCTCCCGGCCCCCTTTTTGACCGGTCACAATACACCAAAGGCCATGGGTCTACGGGTACAACGAGCACATCAAACGGTTCCTCTGCTGCAAAGCAGAATACTTTCACATTGTTACCAGAAGAGAATCTGGCGATAACTACTCTATGTACTACTGTGGTGGTGAAATACCGTCTTGGAAGAATACAAGCGGCCGGAATCCGAAAGACCTACAGATATCCTACGCCAGTGCACGATACATTGGCTGGACTTGACTGGGCAAAGAATGAGTTTCAGCCAGATAATGTCTTTGTTTTTGGGAGACATATCGGTGGCTCGTTGGCGCTTATGTTGGCGCTAACCGAAGCTCGGGGACTCAAGGGTGTTGCAGCAGAAGAGCCAATATGCGATTGGGTTGGCTTAGACGATTACTGCATTACAGATATCGAAAAAGCAGGGCCTGATACGGAGAAGCCAGAGGTAGAGCAAGATAAAGAATCGGCACGGAAACGCGGCCGGAAGAAAAAGGAGCCTCTACCAACACCAGCGGACCTTGTACCTCTGCTTGATGCAAGGCGCCGACTCTTCCCTACCCCGGAGAAGTACTTTGATTCTTTCGCGTCTCCGACCCTTTTTCTCCGAACTTCAGGAAAATATATACCTTTGGTGTTTCCGACTTATCTGACAGGGCCGGAGTATCCCACACCTGTTCTAAAACGGCAGCCCAAGACCGAAGCTGACGCGTTATACATGACGGATTTACTTGCTTCGTCACCGTCGGAAAACTCAACGAGCACAGATCGCAGCGAAAATATACCAGACAAGTCTCTCACGTCACTGATCAAACCTGTACGTAAACGAAAAGTGTTATCGCGCTGGCCGCCTTCGGGATTGGATTATGGGCTGGAAGCTTATGAAGCGCAGAATCGATGGGTTAAACGGGAAGAGACCGCGCTCCCAGATGTTCGGATATTCGTCCGTGATGAAGACCTGTATGCAAAAGAGTTGGAAAATCAGGATAAGGCTACGAGTTTGGATGATAGAATTAATACCCTGATGGAAGCTTTGAAGCTGGACGGTTATTCGAATGGCCAGGAAATGGGTCGGAATTCCCCATCAAAAGGCAAAGCACGTACGACCACACGATTCCGGGGATCTCTGCGGGACATAGGACCAATAGATGGTAATACTGTGCTAGCTCGTCAGGGAAAAGAGATGGTTTCCCTCATGCGCAGTGCTTGCTTTTGGGACAGAAAAAAAGGAGCTGCTGAACGATGTGTGAAGCTGGTTCCAATCTTACCTCCCGATGCGGATCAAATATCTGGTTCTTCCGGCAATGAAGCCGCAGATTCTACCCCTTATGAGGTAAGGCCTGTTGAAGTGCAAGCTGGTCATCGCTTCATGGAGATTCTGCAGGGAAGTAAACAAGAGTAGCCGGCGAAAAATATTTTAGGCACATACAATAAGTACCATAATTCATTCCTGCTTGGGTATCTAAATGCAATGAGTATATAAACAATAAATGCTGCTCCGTATTTCCCCATGTAAATGCTCTAATTTTCAAAACATAGAACTCCGTTTCTTCGCAAGGGTATTAGGAGGAGCTCCGCTCTCTTTCTTCCGAAAGCTAAATATACTCCGTTTCTCCTTTAATTGCGATGGCTGTTGTTGAGGCGGTGGTCTCAGCCCCCCAGCTACAGATTGTGGTCTGGGTGGAGCAAACTGCACTCGCGGGTGTGGCGGCACCGGGTGATTTTGGGTCTGGCGAGGGGGCTGTGGTGGCCTAGGGTTGGCCTGCTGCTTCTGCTGCAGTTTCAACACCTTACTTTCTTCCTTGCCATAAATTTTCCGCAGTCGCTCGGTCTCCTTGTCAACCTGTGCTTGACGTTTTCTAGCTTCCTTTTCTTCAGCTTCAAGAAGCTTTTTAGTTTTTTTTTCAGCCTCCTTCTCCCTCTTGAGCCGAGCTCGTTTTTCTGCTTCAGATTGCTGTTTTAATGCATTGGCTTCAGCGTCTAGCTCCCATTGCGTGCGAGGGTCTGCAGGTGGGATGTTCTGACGAGGAGGTTGGGGGGGTGGCTGCTGTGATTGTTGAGGAAGTGGTTTTGCGGGAGGTTGAGACCTTGATGGAGGGCCAGAAGCTGAAGGGTAGCCTGCTGAGCCGTTTAAAGGCCTTGGGGGTACGAGGGTGCTTGATTGCTTGTCAACTGGGCTTGTTGGGTTTGAAGGTGGATTGACTATATTAAAAGCTTCCTTCATCGGGGTGAAGAATACATCCCGGATAACCATGGCTCCCAGCATGAGAACAATCTCCAAGCCCTTGTAATCCTCCATCTCAACCCGGGAAAAGTTGGGTTCGTAGAGAGTGATCTCCTTTAATGCACTAAAGATGGCAACTGTGATATCCGGCTCACGGTTCTTCTTTGAGTTCCCGCTAGGCCCGACAACTTTGCCGGACAAGTAACATCCAAGGTCTTTCGAGCCCATCCTGCCGTCCTTTCGCCAGTTGAATCTTAATCGAGAGGTAGCGTCTGATGTTGCGGGTGTGGTAAGAGTCTTGTCAAGTTGTGACTTGGATGGTTCCCGAAACGTCTTCTGCGGCATCTCAAAGGCCCATGTGGCCGGTGTATTCCATGTCTTGGGCTTATGGCGGACTAGAACTTGTTGCTCAGGGTTGTATAATTGGATAATGAACTCGGTAGGCATGATAGGCTCTGGCGGTGGTTGTACCCCTCCATTTGCCCGGATAGCCTCCTGGGAAAATGTAGGATAAGTCCACTTGGGTACTATCAGGACCTCTCCGTACAGTGCATCGGGACAGAAAGCATCGTACAGTGCAACAGCGTAACGATTTCGGGATGTCTGTAGTTCAGGGTCCAGATGTCGGACGGTGTATGCTGGTTGTGGCTCTTTGCCATGTTGAGCAACGAACAGAGTCGAGTATGACTTGGGGTTCTCCGATGATGGCTTCACAAAAAATGCTAGAGCAAGTCAGCGCTAGGTAAACAATACCAGGGTTGATAGATGGTGAAGGCTGCATACTAGGGAGGTTCTCATCAAGCATCCTGGCAGTCACGTTTCGACCAACCACGCTTAGGGATAGTAGCGCTTAGCAGTCTATGACGGTTTTTTGGCAAATAGATAAAGGTGGCTGACTCCAGTAATATCCTCGATAGCGCAAATAACATATATATACCCATCCAGAGGCATATCTTGCTGCTCATCCGGCTCTGTATCTACCAGAAGTTGCTGCGGCCTGTAAGCTTCGTCTCAGCCTGCGTCATGTGGTTTAGTCAGCCAGCCGCATCCGTCTTGGCGCCCTGAGTTCTATTTTAAGCCACAAGAGCCACGCAATTTTATATCAAACGAAGGACGACGACGGTGACGAGGCAGCTTGGGTATTGGTATTGGGGCCGGCCTATGGGAGTGTTACGTGGCTTGCGCGTAGGGGTAGGGATAGAAGATAAAGCAACTGCAGGAGGTGACAGAGTTGGAAGAAGCTACAGGGCGGTGTTATGATGGGAAGGAAGAGTTCAAATAAAACTAGTCATTGTCATTATTTTTGCATATCATAAGCGGAGTCTATCGTAGTAAAGCCGTAGAACCCATAACATAAATCATACGATATCCGACATGAAAGTAACCGAGATGATTACTGGAGAAGATGATCCTACAAGGAACGTTAGTATGACAATCCAACATCGGATTTAAAAGGCGACATACCCTGAAATGTTTCTGACTGTTTGCTCCCTTATTGATTTTCCATTCGTACTGTCGTCGAGATCGATCAGCTCGTCGACGTTCTCTCACCTCGGCTCCACGGACCTCCTTCTTCTGGCTCTCCGAGGCACCAATCATGCCCAAACCTCCGTTAGCCCTTGATATAAGAGCACGGCTCTTGTTGGCATTATTAGCCTGCTCAGCGTCCTCTTCATCAGCGCCAGGGCCGGCTTCTTCAATCATACGCTGTCTGGTCAAGCGTTCTTCCGGGGTAGGATAGTTGTGCAAGTTCTGGCGGAAGTATTTGGCATTGGACCTGTGGCCTGCAGTGCGCCCAGTTGGCAGGTGGAGTTCACCATCATGTACAAACGCAGCATGGCCGTGCGAATGTGCATGCGAATGAAAGCCATCTATATTACGATGCTTGCGGGGATCGGTGTTAGAGTGATGGGAATGCCGTGAGAGTTTAGAGTACTGATGTGATCGATCATCAATGGGCTCAGCGCCAATCTCAGCCGAGTCGAGTGATGAAACTGAAGTATCTGTCTCCCAGCCATCATCCTGCGCTTCATTTCCTTCCTCTCCACCCTCCTCTCCCTCCATCTCTTCGTCATCTGAATAGGTGCTTGTGAAATCGTAGAACTGGCCAATCTCAATCTGTTCGTCCTCTGTTTCAAAGGCAATCATGCAATGGCCCTTGTCTCTCATGTGTGTCTGCACAGCCTCTGGTGTCGCCTTTAACTTATGGCAGTAAATGCACTCACTGTTCTTGTAGATCTTTGCTTGTAGATATTCAAGAAGACCTTCACCGTCAGTGAGATACTCTTGTTCAGGAATGAACATGCCATGAAACTTCCCCATATGCAGAACATTGAGTTTGACATTAGGAGACTTGTAGTTGCAGAAGAAACATTGGGCAAGCGATATCTCCGTTTTTTCTCCATCTTTCTCGATCCGTTCGGCGCTCACCGGCTCCGTCTCTGTGGTGTGGCTGGGACGGCGCGGACGAACAGGTAGTGGATCATGGGCATCAATCTTCGTACCCTTGATCCCACTGATAATTTCGGAGAACTCTTGTTCTCCGGGTTCAACGTCATCCTCACCAGTTTCGGTACGCTCGTTGATCGGATCTCCCATGGAAAATGTACCACTCATAACCGATGCCGTCTCGTCCTTTCCACCCTCTCTGCGCAGCATGGCCTCTCTCTGTCTGTGTTTCTGGCTTCCTATATGGTTTTGGAATGCATTTTCGCTATAGTATGTCTTCTGACATGTGGCACAGGACTTTTCATAGGTGGCTTTGGCGGCAGCAGCGGAGTTGGATGCCTGGGCATTCAGTACCTTGTCGGTAAAGACCTCGGATGATATGGGGGGCAGAGTAGCAACACGACGCTTTAAATTGTATCGACTGTAGAAACACCCTGGTTTAGCCTTCGTCTGCGACTGTAGACACTAAAATTGCTAGCACTTACTGCCAGTCACTTCGCATATGCCCTCTCTGCGCTTCGCTACTGCGAAAGGCCACCTGGCAGGTGTTGCATGTGTATGGATGGGTCTCCATATTGCTGCAGAACTGAAGTAAATATCCTCTGGAGTTGCCTTTGCTATTCTTCGGTTGTATCTGTTATGGCGGGGTGAGAGGGCTGGTCAAAAACTTCGACGAAGATCGTGTGGGCAACGAAGTGTCAAGGCTAACAAAGACAGCAACTGAAAGCCCTTATATATAGCTGGTATTCCGTTCTCTTCCGCAAGGCTCCCTCCTCGATAGTCCCGGAGTTGCGGTTGATATCAAATTCGCATGTCCCGGCGTCGCTTTGCTTATCAAGCGACCTCTATTTTTTTTTATTGTGAGGCGAAAAAAACAGAAAGCCAAAAAAGTATGACGTTGTGCCGATCACTTTCCCCTTTTGGGTTTGGCTTGGAAGGGCCCGTCTTAATTTCGACCTTCGACGTCAAGAAAAAGAAACAACAACAGCCAACAAGCAGCAAAAGGCCGGACGACAACGAACGATATCTGAACGGGACACCAGCTGTGGAAGGATGCTAAGGCAGTGCAAATAGCTTACTATAAGAGACGCTGCGACGGAACGGACGGACCCGGACATGTCATAACTATTGCGCAGACAAGATGACGAGGCTGCAAGGGGCGGCGCATGGTAACTGCGCAGCAGAGAGGACGGCTTACCATCATGCCAGGTTGCCATCAGGGGCTCCGGAGGTGATTTCAAGGCATACAGTGAACGTATCGGACCCCTCAAGAGTGCTGTCTTGGGCCAAAGAGGAGCGGCAGCGGACCTTTAACCATCTCGTCAAGAGGTGAGGAGCCCTTGATCCCCCCCTTCTTGCGATCATCCGCATACCGTCCCTCTTACTTCTTATTCGGATCTCTGACTGTATATAAGAGCTCATTTGCTAACACTTTACCGGAAATAATCACAGGTACAAAGCACAGCTGCTCTATGGTTGCCAGGAACCAAATTGCATGACCCCTACGTGCCTTAGTTTCCGTCGTCGAAACACCAAAGCCCCGCTGCGCAGGTTTACAGATCTCAGTGCTAGAACAGTTGCATGCTATTTGGCAAGCCAGGATGACGCGGAGTCGGGCCTCTGCCACTATCCGTCGGCAGTGGTGTCGACCTCACTTGCCCCGGACGTGGAACGTAAAACTCGGCAATCTGGTTCCTACGTTAACGCGGAATCCTCTCGCTCACAATCGC